TTGAATCGAGAAAAATATCATCCCAGTAAATTCCGGATTAAAATCCATCATAGGATAATGGTTGCATTATTAGTCTCCTAAGTATGATTTAGTGAAATTTCAATGCATATATTTTCCCGATGGAGCTTCGCATAAGGGAAAAATGATCACATCATTCATTTCAATGTAAATTAAATCAGTTTAAAGTGAACTTCTTTTGGCTTCTCAAATAGTGACAGAATGATTAGTTCTAGCTTCGGCTTGAAAATATTGATTTCTTGGCTCTAAATGACATTTTGACTTGTATGTAAATGAGAAAAATGTGCTAAGCAAGGCTATACAAGCTTTTTTTGTTTCGCACAAAGCCAGCTGTGATGACTGTAAAGCATATAAAACGTGAACTCTGTATTCACTAATTAGACATTAATAGACGATGTAATAAAAGGCAATGATATTTATTATATTCATTGAAATTGAGAACATGATTTTATTTCAATATTTTTGAGAACTTTAAGTTTGAACTATTTATGTCTGCATCAATAACAGAATGCAAAGACATAATGGAATAACAGAATGCACTAACAGAATGCAATAAGAGAATGCATTAACAGAATGCATTAACCCTATTAAACCAGTTCAATACACTCTTATGTAAGATTTAATAGAAATTATTTATATATCATTTTTGATCCAGACACTCTGTAAGTAAAAGCCTGTTTTATATATTTTTAAATTTCAATTAACGGTTATGTTTTACCAAGTTTCATGGAAAAACAAAAATGATTTTAATGGTCAATAAAAAACTGTCAAGTCAGTGGACATTATGTTACATTATGTAAGAAGAACCATTTTTAAAAGTCCTTTATGTTAAAGAGGCATCAAAGATTAGAGAGTGTAACATGTTTGAAGTAATATTTTTCGAAAAGCATGTCAATGTTTCCATTGCAATCTTCATTTTATTTTCTGAAAAAGAACAAGATATTTGATCAAAAATAGAAGATATTGAAGATACATTTGTAATTAAGATGCAGAAAAGGGCATTTCCGGGCATATACCATTTTTACTACATATTGTTTTATATTATTATATTAAGGTGCCTTAAAATGTGTAAACAATAGTTACAAATTGCCATGAATATTGTAATTTATGGGAATAGCCACAAGCTTTGATGTTAAGTTTATTTAATCATATGATCAAAATGTATATTTACATTTTAAAAAGTGTTTTACTTTATTAATTCCAGCCTGCTTTAGACATTTTTTACCATGTTTGACTTTAGTTGTCCATTATTCCTTTCTTTTTGAGAATATATTTTCCTCATGTGCTTTGACATGTGGAGATTTATAATTTGAGAATAAATGTAGTGTTGTGGGGGGGGGGTAAATTTGAGCATGAGTAATAATGCCACCAAGACCGATTGTGAAGTTCGAAAAATGGAGGTCTGGGGAAATGTTCCCCATAGAATATTTTTCACTTTGATAGTCAAACTGTTGCATTTTAATGAACACCCTTTGCACCCTCCTGCATATGGATGTTATGTAACTATAGTTTTTGTACCACAATGACGCAAATACGTAAATATAGTCAACTTTATTGAAGTTGTTAATTGTGCCAGACACCAAGGTTGTGGGAATTTAAACTGCATATTAATTCTACATTATATACAGCTAACTTCGCTAATGAAAATATAAGCTAAATGCTTCAGTTTTTGTTATTTTTATTACGTATATGTGTATGTTTACATTGGGTATCTAACAACAAATTAAGATAAGACACCTATTGTCAATAATATCAACAACATGTACTTTGAGCAACCATATAACAACAATAACAGGCAAATGATTACGTCTCAACCTTCAATCATTAGCACCCAGGACACCCCCTTGCACAGCATATCAGCAACATTTACATTTTCACCAGACAAGTCAGTTTCGCAAGCTTTTATGTGCCCCTTTAATAAATTAGAATGTCAACTGCTAGAAATTGAAGCAAACAACCTAGTCTTTTTAAATGAAACCAAAATCAAAACATTTCAGTTGAATTTATTAGTATGTACAGGTGACTGCTTACAAGAAAAATGTTCAAGCTCTTTTACATTTCAGCCATTTTGCTATTTTCATTAGGTAATTGTTTTACTTTTGAAATAGAATAAACATATAAAGCTTACAATCATGCTATTTTCTTCAAAACTTAACCTCATTTGAATATTTCAAAGGCAAAATTTGTGAAACATTATTCTGGGATGGAGTACTCTCACGCCCGGTGATCGTGAATATGGGACGGAGGGGGGGCAGCAGGCAATTTCTGCTAGGAAATTCAACAAATCTGGAAGATTTATTTTTTCAAGAAAAAGTTTACTATTGAATTGCTAAATGGATAGGCGCACGGTATGGTAGATTATGTTAGGTTTTCTGGGATTTTTTCTGAAATGATACGCATCTAAGGTATGAGATCTATTAAAAAAGGCGCAAGGCCATCAACAGGCACAAATCAAAGTTTTTGCTATAAATCAAGCAACAATGGACTACACGACCTGTAATAAATACTTGTAAGTGATGTTATCATAACTAAATTAATGTCATTGCTGAATTTATAAAATAAGTTTCCATACGTAAAATAAAAAATAATCGAAAATAATTAAAATGGGACGGAGGGGGGGAGGGGACGGAGGGGGGGAGTAGTAATTCTATAAAGTGAAACAACTTCACACGAATTCTTGTATTTGAAAAATGAACTCATTAACTTAGTAAGAAACTGGATGATATACCCCTGGAGACTGAAAAATGGGGACATTTGGAGTAAAAGGACTTAAAGTCGCGAAACATCTCTAATCATGTCTTATATACATATTGCTCCCCCCCTCCGTCCCCTCCCCCCCTCCGTCCCAAATTCATTATTTTCGATTATTTTTTATTTCACATATGGAAACTTATTTTATAAATTCAGCAATGACATTAATTTAGTTATGATAACATCACTTACAAGTATTTATTACAGGTCGTCCAGACCATTGTTGCTTGATTTATAGCAAAAACGTTGATTTGTGCCTGTTGATGGCCTTGCGCCTTTTTTAATAGATCTCATACCTTAGATGCGTATCGTTTCAGAAAAAAATCCCAGAAAACCTAACATATTCTACCATACCGTGCGCCTATCCATTTAGCAATTCAATAGTAAACTTTTTCTTGAAAAAATAAATCTTCCAGATTTGTTGAATTTCCTAGCAGAAATTGCCTGCTCCCCCCCTCCGTCCCATATTCACGATCACCGGGCGTGACTCTTGGAGGGGTGGGGGACAAATGAAATGGTTGAAACAATTGAAAGAGATGAAATGATTTTTATTTGAAAAACATCAAAAAATATTCCAATTAAAAACATGACTAGATGTTCATAAGATTTATTGGGGTTAGAGGGAGGGGGTAAAATGACTTTAATTTAGTTTCTGACCCTACAATGATTCTGTACAAATATTCTACCATTTTGCTACTGATGTTCAGGTGATGGGGTCTTATACACACACAGGTATATATAATGACAATCTAACAATATATACCAACCTACACTTGATTTTAAATACAAAACATATAAAATGCAAATCTTTAAGGGCATGGCCCAGCAAATATGAGTGAAAAGGTATAGTTCTGTTGAAATTCATTTTCAAAGTTGCAAATCAAAAACATTTAAACTCACAATTTTCAGTTCACTTTATCCCTGACTCATACCTATAGGCTCCATACATGATTATGATATGATAAACATTTTATATACTTAACTTAAAAATGACTCTGGACAATTTGTGAGGCTCATATGGCTCATATGCTATAAATATACCTTCAATTGTGAAGAGGTAAAGTATGCAAAGATTTATGAGTCAAATCCTCTTGGATTTTGCTCTTTAATTCATCTATTGAAGCAATGCAACAAGAACTAGTGCAATGTACTAGCAATGAAAATATAATACTTTATACAGGATGTTCCAAAGCAGTGCCAATAATGTATTTTTAAACTTATATTACAATCTTATTACAATCTAAACATATATTTGACCTTATTAAGTCAACTTTTCTTGACAATCTGCAGCTATCATTTTGTCAAAATAGAGCAATACTACGAAGAAAAAATATCTTTATATGCATCATACACAGTCCAACATAAAAAAGCCACTCTTGATTTTGCTGTGTTTTGACCAAAAGTCTTTTCCTACTCGGACTTCCCACAGCTTCTTTGACCTCTGAACACTTATGTTTCTTAAGTTTTTTAAAGTTAGTTTATTTTCGTAATTTTTTTAACACACAAGGAAGGCCTGACACTTGGTGTAATCAACACTTGGGCTGGCATGGACTGCTTCAAAAAGACCAGATTTTTCATACTTTCATACATTATAGTTTATTTTTTGCTCATGGCTACTATTCTGTAAGAGTGGCCTCTTGTAGTTTTTTTTATTCAACATTGTTTCAACTTTGTCACAACCCTAAAATGTATTCATTCCTTGGAGAATTTCTCGAATATGACATCTCAAAGCTGTATGACCATCTAATTAAAAAAACTGAGCAAAAATGCAACAAAGTTAAAAACTGAATTCCATTAAAACATAATTCTATGTTAATCACTCAACTTGCCTGCATGCCCGTGCAAATGGGTACCAGGGCAACAATATAACTAATACTATGCTAAGATCAGATTAAGTTTAGAAATATATTTCATAAACTGTATATAACTGTGAACATTTCACAGAAAATGAAGCAATAAATCAAAAGCATTATGAGAAATACTTAAACTTGATATTATCCTATATCAAGGTTCATCATATTAACGGATAATATTGACGGATTACATGATATAGTAATATGTATACACTATCCTACCGGACTGTATTGTCATATGATTTTGACATATACTGGACCACAGAATTGCTGACACATATCTGTAGTGTTACATTATGTGGGCATTTGTCTTTTATACAATAATAGCTGTAATAACTGTAACAAATAGCAGGTATTGGATTTGTTCAAATAAAACTGGGTAACAAAATAAAGATGGCAGAAGACGTATAAATTATATAATGCCTATAGGGCCTATATAATGAATGGTACACTTCATACATAGACTTATATTAATACATGATATTTCATTTACATTTATACACTCATTATGTACATTGACTTTAATGTCTAATGTCCTATTATTTAGTATTTAATATATTATAAGTAGGATATGCCGCTGCCTTCCAAGCTTTACCATTTAAAGTTTAGCATGAATATTTTCTATATCTGTATCTGACAAAGTTGCCTGAATTGTATGTATAATTTTTCAACTTGAGGTCACACATTATTTACATATTCCTTTCTTCAAAATATTAAAATATATTAAAAGAGGTTCTTTATCACATAACATTCCCAAAACACTGACATCACAGCAGGAAGCACTGACATCAGTTGGTGAACACTGACATACAACATTTACACTTTGAAATAACAATAAGCTTTCATCATTCCAGTAGTGACATTTCAACCAAAATAATGCTGCAATTTTTCATGGGTTTTCAACTAGAAAGCCCATGAATTCTTCAAAGATACTTTTTAATGTTCTGTTTTTTTGATACACTGAATTTGAGAAAAAGAATCTGTCCAACAGACCACCATGCCATCTTTAAAACAGATTGGTAAAAACAGATTCTCTAAAATCATTATGCTAGACGTCATACAAGGCCAAACACCGCAAAAAATACTGCCTTTAGAATCACGTTCACTTTTAAGCTTGGCATTGTTTTACTTTTATATATATCTTTGCTAATTTAACATTAATACTGATCAGTAAAAATTGAAAACAGCAGATTGGTTAGTCTCAACTTGATACATCTGTTCGTATCACATAGAAGTTCTCAATCATGTCCTTTGACGGGTATGGGTTCTTAGTGATCAATACAAATTTGAAGTTTGATGTTCTGAGGTCTGTAAATCTGTTCCGTGAGTAGTCATCACCATCAGTGTCCCGCAGAAGGGATAAATACCTGGAAGACAACGTCATACGATAAAACTGCAGTCCTTTAGTTTTTTAATAACTTTCTCAATTATGGTAGAATATTGTTCGATGGTGCAAACAATGATAAACTTATATCGCTTTTGCAATCACATTTTCTTTGTCAAGGAATGCTCTCTTCTTCCTAAATTGTTAAAAAAAATCCCAATTTGAGAATTATATTTCTGAATGTTTTTGGATTATTGACCACAAGAGCATATCTTGGAAGGAAAATGTAATTTCTCTAAATCTCTAGGAAAATGTAATTTCTTTAAATTTCTAAGTTAAAAATGCAATATTCATGTAGGTACACCATGTCCTATTGAACTATTTTTATCTAAACAACAATTTAAGAAGATCATTCAATAATGAGAAAATATATCAGGTATAACTGTTGATGGTAAAGAATATAAGATGTCCCAATATGCGGACGATACTTCACTTTTCATTAAAGATAAAGAGTCATTGAAAAATGCTCTTAATACTATTTCCAATTTCTCAAAATTTTCTGGTCTGAAGTTAAACATAGAAAAAACTGAAGGCCTACGGCTTGGAAAAAATAAGGACTTTGAAAAGAAATGTGAAAATATAACTTTTACTGATGAACCAATCAAATATTTAGGAATCTTTTTAGGACACAACAAACAAAGATGTTATGAATTAAACTGGGAAGATAGAGTAAAAAAAGTAGAAAAAATATTAGACAGCTGGAAGAACTGATACTTTAACACTTTTTGGCAAAGTTACAGTGATTAAATCACTGGCAATTCCAAAATTAATTTATGCAGCATCAGTATTATCTATGCCACATGAGATTATAAAAAAAGTAAACAATCTTGTATTTAAATTTCTATGGGATGGAAAAAAGGACAAAATAAGAAGATCTATAATCATAAATAACATTAATAAGGGTGGAATAAATATGATTGACTTAGAGTCTCAAATACATGCACTTAAAGCAGCATGGATCCCCCGTTTGCATAATCAAAACATGTACAATAAAATCCCTTACTTCTATTTCAATAAATTTCTTCCAAATATAGATGTATTATTCAAGATAAATGATAGAAGAACACAAATGTGTACAAAATGTCCCCACCTATGGGTGATCCCATCAAATGGTTATCCTAAAAATGAGTAGACAAGACTTTAACGACACAATTTGAGGACGGAAAATCCAATATGTCAGTTCTAGATTTTCATACTAAGAAGCACCCCTGAAAATTTGAAATTGATCCGTCACACAGTTAACCAGAAAACATGTAAACAAGACTTTACAGACAAGATTTGAGGACCGAAAATCCAAAATGGCTGCCTTGACATTTATCCAGAAGGTATGACTCCACCATTGTTTTGCCGTTTTACTACATGCCACAATCAACCTCACTGTCATCATATCAAACCAGGCCCAATTTCCATCAAACTTGGCCCAACTACTATCAGGTGGATGTCCTTCAAAAATCAAGTTGGCATGGTTACCAAAGCCTAATAGTTGCCATGGCAACCGTAGAAATGGGGTAAGAAATGAGAGCAAAAAAGCACCCAAACCCACCATATTGGCACTAATTTATAAAATATTTCTAGACATACATATTTTCTTAAACTTTGATATCATCTAGGACACTTCTAGACAACAAAAATATCAAAAATTGGGGTTAGGTTTACCACTTCAATTTTTTTCTAGGCTTGGTCAAAGTAAAACTACGAAAAAAGCACTAATTTTCACTTTTGAATCACCTATTATCGCCCAAATGGCTATATTTTTTCAAGGTCAAGGTCGCCATGTTAAAAGTAGAATTACGGAGATAAATCTGCTCTTCAGACAATGTTTGATGGCTTTTCTTCACCACGGAACAAAGATCTTTGCCCTGGTATGCCCATTTCCATGAGATAATATACGTGAAAGAGGAACTATGTCTTTAAATGTCATCAAAACTTTATGCCAACACGTGAAAAGGCCATTTCCGCACTACTTTTGGTGTAATAATTCCATAATGGGGACATGTTTTCTTATCCAGCACTAGTGTAACTGTTTTTAGGTAATTGAGACATTTCTGATAAAAATGGTATCCAGAAACATGATATTTTGAATAAAACGGGACCAAAAAACGATCCCTGAAGATGCCTGTGTTATTTGAGATTTTGGTGTTTTTCACTGGCCTGAAAAATGGATGGGGTAGGGGAGTGACACACCTTTTGGGCTTATTCAAGTTAGCATTTGAATCAAATGAATGGTCACATGTTTGGTACCATCTTAAAGCTTGTCACGTCCGCTTCAATTTGGTACCCATATCATGAGGTCAGACGCTATATTGTGACGTCACGATGGTACCAAACGATTATAAAATGAAAATTAAGCATCAAAATGTGGCAAAATAATGGGGACATGTTTTCTTATCCAGCACTAGTGTAACTGTTTTTAGGTAATTGAGACATTTCTGATAAAAATGGTATCCAGAAACATGATATTTTGAATAAAACGGGACCAAAAAACGATCCCTGAAGATGCCTGTGTTATTTGAGATTTTGGTGTTTTTCACTGGCCTGAAAAATGGATGGGGTAGGGGAGTGACACACCTTTTGGGCTTATTCAAGTTAGCATTTGAATCAAATGAATGGTCACATGTTTGGTACCATCTTAAAGCTTGTCACGTCCGCTTCAATTTGGTACCCATATCATGAGGTCAGACGCTATATTGTGACGTCACGATGGTACCAAACGATTATAAAATGACAATTAAGCATCAAAATGTGGCAAAATAATGGTATGACTCCACCATTGTTTTGCCGTTTTACTACATGCCACAATCAACCTCACTGTCATCATATCAAACCAGGCCCAATTTCCATCGAACTTGGCCCAACTACTATCAGGTGGATGTCCTTCAAAAATCAAGTTGGCATGGTTACCAAAGCCTAATAGTTGCCATGGCAACCGTAGAAATGGGGTAAGAAATGAGAGCAAAAAAACACCTAAACCCACCATATTGGCTCTAATTTATAAAATATTTCTAGACATACATATTTTCTTAAACTTTGATATCATCTAGGACACTTCTAGACAACAAAAATATCAAAAATTGGGGGTAGGTTTACCACTTCAATTTTTTTCTAGGCTTGGTCAAAGTAAAACTACGAAAAAAGCACTAATTTTCACTTTTGAATCACCTATTATCGCCCAAATGGCTATATTTTTTCAAGGTCAAGGTCGCCATGTTAAAAGTAGAATTACGGAGATAAATCTGCTCTTCAGACAATGTTTGATGGCTTTTCTTCACCACGGAACAAAGATCTTTGCCCTGGTATGCCCATTTCCATGAGATAATATACGTGAAAGAGGAACTATGTCTTTAAATGTCATCAAAACTTTATGCCAACACGTGAAAAGGCCATTTCCGCACTTCTTTTGGTGTAATAATTCCAGAATTCCAAAAAACTAATCTGTTCTAGATTTTCATACTAAGAATCATCCCTGAAAATTTGAAATTGATCTACCAAACGGTTCACCTGGAAATGCGTAGACAAAACTTTACAAACAAGATTTTAGGACAGAAAATCCAAAATGGCTGCCTTGACATTTACCCAGAATGCCCAAAAACTAATCAGATCTAGATTTTCATACTAAGAATCATCCCTTAAAATTTGAAATTGATCTACCTAACGGTTCACCTAAAAACGCGTAGACAAGACTTTACGGGCAAGATTTTAAGACGGAAAATCCAAAATGGCTGCCTTGACATTTATCCTGAATGCATAAAAACTAATGAGATCTAGATTTTCATACTAAGAATCATCCCTGAAAATTTGAAATTGATCTACCAAACAGTTCACCTGGAAATGTGTAGACAATACTTTACAGATGAGATTTTAGGACAGAAAATCCAAAATGGCTGCCTTGACATTTACCCAGAATGCCCAAAAACTAATCAGATCTAGATTTTCATACTAAGAATCATCCCTGAAAACTTGAAACTGATCTACCAAACGGTTCACCTAAAAATGCGAAGACAAGACTTTACGGGCAAGATTTTAAGACGGAAAATCCAAAATGGCTGCCTTGACATTTATCCAGAATGCATAAAAACTAATGAGATCTAGATTTTCATACTGAGAATCATCCCTGAAAATTTCAAATTGATCTACCAAACGGTTCACCTGGAAATGCGTAGACAAGACTTTACAGACAAGATTTGAGGACCGAAAATCCAAAATGGCTGCCTTGACATTTACGCAGAATGCCCAAAAACTAATCAGATCTAGATTTTCATACTGAGAATCATCCCTGAAAATTTGAAATTGATCTACCAAACGGTTCACCTGAAAATGCGTAGACAAGACTTTACAGACAAGATTTTAGGACGGAAAATCCAAGATGGCTGCCTTGACATTTACCCAGTATGCCCAAAAACTAATCAGATCTAGATTTTCATACTAAAAATCATCCCTGAAAATTTGAAATTGATCCACCAAACGGTTCACCTGAAAACGTGTAGACAAGACTTTACACACGAGATTTTAGGACCGAAAAATCCAAAATGGCCGACAATAAAAAAGTGATTATGAGTTTTTGCTAATTTCTTTCAACAAAATTATCACATATAACTACTGTTAACAATAACATAGGCTTTTACAACAAAGTACACCTGAAATTATTTATAAAGCTACTAAATAGTTTAAGTATGAAAACTGAATAACACCATTCAATATGATACAAAGTATTATCGTGCGCTAACTTTTCTTAAAACATTCAAAATGGCTGACATGACTGAGCTTACAGGTCCAAAACCTAATCAGATCTAGAATGAAGTGAGCTGAACAAGATGTTAAAGTTTTAAAAGCAACTGTGAAGCCGTTTTTCTTAAAGTTTGCAGACAAGGATTTTAGCATTTGACTTCAAAATGGCCGACAGGAAGTTGGTCTCGAGTTAATTTTTTTTCATCCACATCTTTATGCATTCATAAGTTATCCCTGAAAATTTAAGGTGCTATCTGTAGCGGTTTTGGAGAAAACTGCCGGACGTACGGACAGACTGACAGACAGACGGACAGACAGACGGACAGACAGACGGACGGACGCGCCTAGGCCGACAATATGGCCCCACACTATGTGGTGGGGACATAGATTCAAAGAATTTGAAAATGTTCCACTTTTTTATCAACAAGTGCTGGAAGCACATTGTTTATGTAAATGCATCAAAAATATAAGAGATATGAAGCAACATGAACTCTTGCAAGAGGTTATATGGGGAAACAAATTATTTACCGTCAAAAATAAACCAATTTTCTTTGAATCATGGATCAAAAGTGGAATTATATACATAAAAGACTTGATAATTCAGAACAGGTTCCTTGATGTTAATATGTTATATCAAAAACTTGTAAATAAACAAAATTGGATATCTGAATATTACAGAGTTTTATCAGCCACGGGCACACTGAAAGAAAGATTCAATTTAGAATCTGTCAAGTATACAAATATTCATAATACTTTTAAATTTAATATAAATAATGTGATTATCACTGTGAATAATCAGAAATCCAAATTCTTTTATGAAATATTAAAAAACAAACGATCGGAAAAATGGTTTATGAAAATGAAATGGGAACAAGTTTTGCTATGAAGCCAATGATGAAATAAATTGGCAAAACTTTTTCTCTACAAAAATAAGTTGTAAAGAAAAGAAAATAGGTAATTTCAACTTTAAAATAATCAACAATATTCTTCCTAGCCTTAGTGATTTATATATATTTGGTAAAAGTGAAACCTACAAATGTAGTTTATGTAATAAATTATGTACCTTGAGACATTTGTTATTTTCATGCTCATATTCTCAAAACATTTGGAAACATATTTATAATATCTCAGGGTTAAGAGTAACTTACAGAAAATTGATAATTGGTTACGATGGAAATGACAATCATACTGAATTTTTAAACTATTTTATAAGTATTGTGTCATTTGTTATATATAAAACATATATTCAAGAACTGAATAATGGTATTAAGCGTAATTTTGAAGGCACTATTAAAACTTTAAATTTTGAAATCTGTACTCGAAAAAATGTATTTTTTAAAAACAAATGGAAAATGATTAAAACATAACTCATTATACATTATTGTAATTAATTGTATCATTGTATTTCTGTATCGTAAAAACCTAAATTGGAATAAACTATATTTGAAAAAGAAAAAAAAAAAAGAAAATTATTCCAGATTTGTAAATGTAAAATGTAACTACATGTATTACTATTACTTTTGTTGCTAAAACTGCAACAACAGTATGGGATAAGTTAACAAGAATGCCTTTAAAAATCAATATATTTACTAGTAATCGATTATATAAAGTGAATCAGGGTTTTAGACTCACTAGGTTTTTAGACTCCGGAGATTGTCTGAAGTCTAATTATATGTTTAGACCCTCTTGCTCCAGGGTCTAGGTTTTAGGGAGTCTAAAGTGTTTTTCCGGAGTCTAATTTTACATTGTGTCACATTATTTCTGGTAAAATCTTGAGAAAATACATAAAACTAGATACAAACAAGAACTAGGAAGTCAGAAACCTTTTAGAAAAATATATTGTGATTAAGAAGGAAGGTAATCTTAGTAATATTTTGAAAAGTATACTAATAGGATATCTCTGATCTTACTTAGGGGAGGAGTAGTTGCGATACCACAAAAAAAATCCAGGGTCTAAAAATTTCCTGGTGAGAACCTTGTGAATATATGTGAATCATATTAAAATATTTTTCATTAGAATAATTAACGACAATTAAATATGTTTTCATAAATTCATTATCACCATACAATTCAAACGAATGGCTTAATTGCTTAAATGAAGAAAATATACTATCAAATATATCAGAAGAGTCAGCCAATTTGTTGAATAATAAATTAATATTGAATTTCATCAATACATAACTTCTAAATTATCACATTTGACAGACTGCCAACTAAAATACCAAATGATTCACTCGATATAATAAGACCTTGAAATCATGCCATAAAAAATGCAGATGTTTAACATTGGTTCAATACGAAAAAGTTGTTTTACAATATCTGGTTACCAAATTTGAATATTGGCCATTTGACATTTTGGAATATTTACCATTCATTGTATACAGGGTGGGCTAAAAGATGTTCAACATTTTCATTTCTTTCTATATATATTTTACTTAGGATGCAAAAGAATGTAGTATCAAGCTAACAAAAATGTTACAAGGGCACATGGAGCAGGTTTCATTTAGCCAGCACCCTGAATAAATATATAGAAAAAATGAGAAAAAATATGACATGTTTTGGCCCAATCTGTATTTTCCTACTTAAAATGAATGAGATGGTTCCATCAGTATTTGAGCTATTGCCCATACGAATGAACCGAGTGACATAGGGGTAAAAAGGACCTTACTTTTCATTTTGGATAATAGATTTATCCATACGAATGAACTGAGTGACATAGGGGTAAAAAGGACCTTACTTTTCATTTTGGATAATAGATTTATCCATACGAATGAACTGAGTGACATAGGGGTAAAAAGGACCTTACTTTTCATTTTGGATAATAGATTTATCCATACGAATGAACTGAGTGACATAGGGGTAAAAAGGACCTTACTTTTCATTTTGGATAATAGATTTATCCATACGAATGAACCGAGTGATATAGGGGTAAAAAGGACCTTACTTTTCATTTTGGATAATAGATTTATCTAGAATGGATTTTAGGAGTCCTGCTTCGACATCGTTCATTCTCATTTCTATCTGCTCCCAAAGGTCTAACTCCATCATGTCAATCACAAATGGTTTGCCATATCTAAAATACAAGAATATCCCTGATGAAAGAATTCTATTGTTGGACCTTCAATTGTAAGCAAATCACATCATTCTTACAAGAAAGCCCAAAATTGGTGATTTAAATTCAGAAGAATGGGACACAATTTGTCTTTGACTTGAGCTGTTGTATCCATTTGGAAAAAATCCACTTAAACAAAAATTCTTCAAGTTAATTCACATGCCCAGTTTGCAGTTTGTTATTATTTAAAAGTAAGTCAGACATGCATCTACCTATGGCAACTGTATTCTTTATAACTTAATATTGGCAGTGCTGGAGCATAATCTTACAATATTATTATGTCATACATTTTGAGTACAAAGATTGTCTAGTTTCCTTTCTAGATATACTATTTTGGACTAATTTTCATAGGGTACACACAATATAAGCTATGTGGTTCAAACTTTCCATGGGTCCTTTAATCTTATTTTTTTCTATTATAACCTGTACCCACCTTATGGCTCCTAAAAGTGCCAGTCTAAGTTTGTCTTTGTCCATAAACTGTGGATTGATAGCATTGACATAATTGGTATCTTGGTACCTTAGAAAGGTAGTAGCATGGCCTGTCCTGTCTATTATCATTGGCCACCTAAAAAAATCAGCACAATTACATGTATTGGTATACATATACATGAACATTGTATTACATTGGAACATTGTATTACATTGGAACCAAGGATCACAATTACTGTATAAGTGGTAATTTTACCTAATCATTTAATTTGCCTATTTCCTAATTTTTGCCAGGTTCGGAAAATAAAATGTCGGAAATATTGTCTTTATAATGTTATCAAATGGGAGGTTTCTTGTCATTAGGAAAATTAAAATTAGGAAAATGATGAAATTGACCATTCGGAAAATTAACCAGTCGGATTAAATACCACTTATACAGTATCCTTTTCCCAGCAAAAGAGAATGGAGAGGGCAAACACAAAATCTTGGTATAAGAGTAGTAAAACATTTTATCACATACATAAGGAGGGGGGCTTCATTTAATATGCCAAATTTACTTTTCACTTTCATATTGCATTACCGTGAAATAAATGTATTAGAATTGATATTTGTAAACAATATGCAATGACCTGTCTGTCAATTCAAGTAATTGTTTGTAATTATATATTCTAAAACATAAATCAAACCACTTGCTTTCCAGAATCTTTGATCTTGTTACCCACATCTCGTACAAGTACATCATCAAGTTCCCGCACAGTAACCTTTAACCCTGGCAAGTCATCCCCAAGTTCTGAAATACAAATATCTCATATCAAATACAGTGAAACCTGTAAAGTGAAACACCTCTAGAAGTGGAACACCTATGTTAGAGGAACACTTCAGAGTCCCAGGACCAACTATATTAAAGGACAACTGAAATAGCTTTTCTCAACTTGCAGCTACAAAAATGCGGTTTTCTCTATTGTAAGCCCACCGTAGAGTTCTTGCGATAGCCATTATAAAATAAATGTTAGATAACTGCTAACGATCATAGATAACGAAATAAAACTAACTGATAAATCAAATTGGCCCCCACGTGATTAGTAACGTCATATACAAATTATAGTTTTGGTTTATTGGTTCCATAGTAATAACAACGTCACGGCAACCATAGGATTGTTGTGTAAACAAATAACAAAACATTTTGGCATTATGACGTCATGATCTAATGGACCAAAACGGTCCACGTGGGGGCCAGTGAGAGATCATGTGGGGGCCAATAACGTCACAACCAATTTGAATATTGCTTATTAAGCAGCTATAACGATCGTTAGAGTGAAATAGTTTTCACACTACTGATTAGAAAACATGTCCAAATACATCTATCAAAAAATTATATTGATTCTTTTAGGTTAAAAATACCATTTCATATCTGCTTTAAAATCAAATTAACTTCTACATTTGTTGTATAAGTGGAACACCTCCTACATGGAACACTTTTTAGAGGTACCAAATTGCAAAGAGGTTCCACTTAGACAGATTTTACTGTATTTTGAATCTCCATCACTACTCTCTAAATATTTACACAAATGATCTTTCAGTTTTATGTTGCTGAAATCTTGATGATCTCAATTTTCTAAACCAAATTTCAAGATGTCATTTTACATGAAGACTTCAATTATGATATCACTTTGACTAAATTTTGAATATTCAACGATGTAAATCAAGAATATTTCTACTAGCATCGAGTCTATAAATTCCCATTAATCTATTTCTTAGTATTTACATATGTACTGTCTTACCTGCATTGTTCATTTGTTGCTCTCTCAACCTGAGTTTTGCTTGCTGTAGTTTGCCTTGGATCACTTCAAAGTCAAGTTGGGCTGTATTTACAACTGCCTCCTGGTCATGTATACACTGAAAGCAGAATTTTCACATCTTGATATTCTGTTTTTATATTTAGGCTAAGCATACCTAATAATATAATTGTAAAACATTTTTAAGTTACTCATTCACTTCATAGAATAAGTCACAATTGTGAGTAACTTAATGTGTGAAAATCAAGAATTTTCTGACTGGCATTAGGGTGTTTCATTTTAGAAAATTTTGGCAATCAAGCTGCTCTTCATATCATATGGTCAATTTGAATTATTGGTAGGGACCCCACAAAAAATTTCAGCCAAATCGGGCATTGCTTGCCTCACTTCCTAACATTGAAGAATTAAAAAATATTTTTTATGCATTTGAACACCATTTAGACAGCTAAATTCTTTTTCATCCAATTTTACATTCTCAGGATAACAACAGTATCTACCTGTAAAGTAATATCAGTTCTCTCAAAGCCTTGCGCTGATACAGTGTCATGCTCCGTAATTCGCTTGTTCAGTTCACAGTACGCAGAATTCAACTGAAAAGTACAACAAAATAGGCATCATATTTGTTTGTCATGTCATGATATGCTCTTAAAATGACTTAACTAATTTAAACATGCATTTATTTCATTAAACCCCCATAAAATATATTTACAATACAATCTCCATCAACAAAGTATGTAATAAATCATGGTAAAAAGCACAAATTCACTAAAAGACCTGTTTTACCTGTTTCTCACTATAGCATGACTTATAAAAATTTGTTTTGTTCACAGTATTTTTAGAACACACTTTTTATTAAAATAATTAACACTTTCAAAAATCTGTTTTGTCTAGAGTATTTCTAGAATACCTTTTTTATTTAAAAACAAGCGCTTCCAAAATTAATATTTGTTAACAAAGAAGATGTGTGGGCAATACAATAATTAATTGAATATTATAAATACATGGAGTGTATAATTTAGGGTGAAACTTTTGAGACTTCCCCTGAGTATACTTACATGCTTCTGCTTGGATTCAAACTCTTTCTGAATCTCTGCCAAGCTGCCCTCTAATCTGCAAGTGAAAACAAAGAGCATTCAATACAAATCTTTTTCATTCCATAATAACATGTTTTCCTGGGAAATAAAGGCATTAGATCCCTCATCAGAACTATTCTGGGATATCTCTTGACTTTTACATATTTTGCTTAGCATTCTTCTACCATGATCAAATATCATTTGGAATTGTAAAATATAATGAAATAAAAATCCCTCCCATCAAATAATCATTATGTTAACAGGATGGGCCAATAAATATGCCAATTTTCTACATTGATCCTTAGTCAATTTTTGTGGAGAATATCTAATATAACCACATGTATTGAAACAGGGACTCAATGATCAGTGAACATAGAGTTATGATTTAAGATTTTTTCTCCAGTAATGTAAGAGGGTGGGACATGGTCACTTAAAGCTACTAAGTAAATAAATAATTTAAAATATTTAGGTAAAACATGTAATTTCAATTTCAAACCGACTGAAAACATTCTAAGAAAATCATAATGATATCAAAAAAAACAATATGGTAAATGGGAGATTTATTCTTCAGCTTACTTATTAGTTTCAGCTTCTCTTCTTTTCTTCTCTTGTTCAGATCTTTTCTCTTTTTCTCTATCAATTTTTTCCTTAAGAGATTCTGTTTGTGAGATATCCCACTCTGTCAACAGTTCTACAACTGCATCAAGGGAAGCAATCTAAATGTTAAATAAAATTGTTGTCAATGGTCTATCTGTAAATGGATGATGTAAAGATCACATAAAATCTTGAGAAAAATGACATCTGAAAAAGAACAATTTGTATATTGACTGAATACAATTCTCTGATCATGTTACTGCCACCTTAGCCATTTTCAATACTACAGAGAATTTTCAAAAGCAAACCTGGATTTCGAAAGTCATCTCTATCTTCAGATTATTTCCAACTTCACGAAGAGATGATGAACAAGTTAATAAAATTGATTACCCAGGGAAATACATATGTCAACCCTGAATTTTACACCACAATTCTCTGTGGAATACTCCTATGGGACCCCATGGTTAACTCACATGCTGTGGAGATTGGCCATCACTTGCATAAATCCTGGGGTCTGCGCCATGTTGAAGCAGCATCTACAATCACAGCTAGAGGGGTTATTTAAAGGACGGACGGACCAACAAACGGACGGACGGATGCCTGGTCGATCCCATAGGCTCACTGTGTAAGCCAAAAAGTACAGATACCCGGACAGTACTGGGTAGTGATATGCTTCATTAGCAGTCTCACTTTGCTTTCAGGGATTACACTGGAGCAGATATGACTAGGAGTGACCTCAAGCTGTTTATCAAACTCCACCAGCATTAGAAATAGAGAGGAAATGTATATTTTATTCATTCACATAAAAGATTTGAATTAACATATCATCCCAGCCCGAAAATAGAGGGGTAGGCCTAGAATAATGTGAATTATAAATATACGCTAGGACATGCAGACAATCTGCCAATTATTTTGGTTCCGAAATAATATTTTGCATTAAACAGTCACTCACTTGCCGATAAGTATTCCTTATTTGATAACATTCAATAAGAATCTTTTTTTGTACAGTGTGATTTCTGTCCAACACATCATGGAGCAAGACATAGTTTTCAAGAACTCACCTGACAAACATCTAAATGTCCAGCAAAGGCTGCCCTGTAGAGAGGGGTCCTTAGGAACTGGCCTTGGTGATTGGGATCAGCTCCTCTTTCGATGAGAAATTTGACTGCATCCATACTGCCACCACCTTGAAGCCAAAAAATGTATGCATTGTATGTTGTTATATAGCATCCTATTATTTGTTAAAATAAGAAAAAATAAGAAACATAGAGGTAGCCTTGAAATGTGCAATAGGTTTTATGCTGATATAAAGACGGAAGTAGTGAAGCCCATTATTCTCTCATTCAAAATAAATAGATTAGATCAATTTTTAAAGACAAAGACGAGTTTTAAAAGTAATTAAGTTCCCTCAGATTGAGGTTATAACTCAAGTGACATCTATACAATGAAGGCAAATCATTTTACTTAACTAACAACAAATATAGCATTTCATTTTTATTTCATTTCATTTTAAAAATGTTATTCTGACTAACTTGAAGCTTCTGAAAGAGGTGTGTTTTCATTGGCATCTTCACATTCAACAATGTTGAGCAAATGTTTGTTGCGTATTGCTGTTCCTATGTCATCTCGACCTATACCATTCTTATCATCTATGTCTCCCACCTGTAAAAATTGAATGTTAATACAAAACATTTGAATGTCATCCTTGGATTTAAATTTTACATTTTGTACATTACTGCATATACTTATACACATATACCATATGGTATGTATGCACGAGGAACAAAATATTTATTTTTAGTTTTTGACTTGAATACTTCTACACATATGTTACACTTTAGTGCTAATGTTGGAATTTTCCCCACACTTACTCGGATGCGGTTATTCAAAAGTTCAGTGAATCAGACAATGTGTGAGAATGGACTCTGTTATTGCAATTGGTCCATCAGATGTTCCAAAACCAGGCTTCATTAAAGCAATAAGGCATGTACATGAAAATATGTCACAAACTTGTTGCAATTACAAAACTGTAAGCATTTATTACAGATGGTACACCGTATAACATGAAATATTGCCGTGGATATAAAGTTGCCGATTGCCGAATGTAAAACAGAAACGGCAACATAAAATTCATATAATTAAGTAATTGATGATCAATCTTTGTGGGCGATAATATGGTAGTTGTCTAACGTGTGTCAACTTACTGTAATTAGGGTAATTTTCTAACGAGTATCAACTTACTATACTTAGCTTTATTCCCCAGCATAAAATTACAATAAAAAGTCATGTTAAAAAGTTAAAATGTCAGAAGATCTAATTGTATCCAAGTGCTTTGGAAATCCCAGTATTAAAAGTTTTTAATCCCAATATTAAAAGTTTTTAATCCTGTTATTAATTGTCCTGAGTCTATCGAATGTGGGTAATCACTCAAATTGTCACTCATAATGTCAGGATGTCAGGTTTTCTGAGTCAGTAAAATGAAGGTGATTAAAATCCAGTTGTAAATCAAAATTATATTAGAGGTGTCAGCTTAGTAATATTTTATTTGGCTTTACATTTAGGGGTGTCAGGTCGGCAAACGTTTATTCAGCAATAACAATTTTAATCCAATTCGGAAAATAAAGCACCTGGATTTAATACATGTTATACAGTAATACTGAAAACTGACACTGGTCACAAAAATGGTGGCAATATATTCTGACCCACTATAACTCTTTAAATTTGACCTGCCCCAAAAACTCTTTGAGTTTGCAAAAACTCTTTGAGTTTGACATGCCTCTAGAACTCTTTGAGTTTGACCTGCCATATACATGTACCTCTTTGAGTATGGCTTCCATGTCATCTACATCTCCATCAAATGCAGATTCCAGCATCCGCTTCTGTCTCTTCTTCTCTTGTATCCTCTGCCTTCTCTCCTCATCTTCTTTGGCTTGCTGTCTTTCAGCCTCCTCTTGCTGCATCCTAACCACTTGAATGAGAGCCTAGAATTTATTTCAAAACACATAAGGGAGATAGGAGGGGGGGGGGTATAACAAAAATATCTTGCTAGCACTACACAGTACATATTTCTCTAGCATTACACAAAACATATTTTGCAAGCACTACAAAGTACATATTTTGCTCTGCCTGCTTACCTCCTTTTCTAGTTTATCCATAAGTTCATCATAGTCTGCCTTCTCTTTCTTTAGCGCTTTAAGTTTTTTCCTGGCCAGGTATCCTCTTGCACCTGTCTGTATCTTCCTAGCAGCCTCATCATCCTTTGTCCAAACCTTCTCCTTTGGTTTATCAGCCTTTTTGTTTGATGCAGCATCTTGTTTCCCTTTGGGAGCAGCTTTGCCAGCTGAAATTAACAACACCTTGAAATGTCTCCCGTAGCCAGCTTTTGCCAAGGGGGTTTCACTTTTTAAAAAGTTCTAGGAGGGGTGTTCACTTTTGACAATTTTAGTCCAAAAATAGCCCAAATTACTTAATAAATGCTTAGAATGGTAAAAAACTGCACGATTTTGAAAGTGAGGGGGGGAAGTGCTCAAACCTATCAAACCCCCATGATCGAACATCCTCTGGCTATGAGCCTGGTCTCTATCTTTATTGACGTAGTCGTTGTAGAATTTCCTGATTCTTCTCAAATGATATTTCATAGTCTGTGTCCATTATATTCATTTTTAGGATTTAATATAATGTAAGGCTATCAAATCTAAAAATAAGCAATCAAATGATGACAGTGCAACATGGCACAAGGAAATAACATGCAAAATGTCACAACCTACCATTTGTTACAGATGCCAAATGCCAAACACCAATCAATGAACACCAATATGAGTCGTGGACAACGTAGTCAAACACCCTCAATTACAAAACCGCATAGAGCACAATCAAATTTTATTTTAACAGGAAAATCGAACCCTGAGCCATAAAGGCTAGCCACTACAGCTGAGACAGTAGTAGTGACTTGGTATCGAAGGTCATTACACCATCCCCCTAGAAGACGACGTCCCGTTGTAACTGATTCACAAGGGCAATCCCACTTCTGACATCAATGTAACGACCCTTGGGCACGCCTGTCGGGGAGCTGTAGTATACCGAGCCAGATACTAAACTCGAAAACAAGTGAACTAAATTCAATGCCCATATGGGAATCGAACCCAGGACCTCCCACTCTCGAGTCAGACGCTTTACCCCTGAACCATAAAGGCTAGCAACTACAGCTGAGACTGTAGTTGCAACTTCCTAACGAAGGTCATTACACTATTAATGAACTAAAATGTAGTAAACATACCTTCATTGAACTTAGTATCTAGTCTTAGTTCATATGTCCTTCTACATTGGCTTTAATTTAGTGTTTTCTAAAAGCAAATTTTTCTTCGGTAAAAAGGGCCATTTTGTTTTTTGCTATAGCGGGATAAAGTTCAACCTTAACAGATGTTTTAAAGAATGCAGATCCAGTGATTTTTAGTTTAGATGAAAGCATGCAATATCACACAAAGGATTGATGAAATATTCTCATTACGATTTTTTGAATAACATCTAAAAAAAATTTTACTCCAGAATAAACATCTTCACTAGTGCATGGTGGTCCACATGCCATGTCTTCTAGCCAAGTAATTTGGCTAGAGACTCAAGTAAGTTTATTGCATTTTAGTTCACTAATAGCAACAGTCCATCAGAGATAGCGCAAAAGGCAATAAAACAAACAGGGCTTCACGATAGCGAAAGGCCCGATGTGGCTGAAGAATAAGGTCGATCTAGAACTACATCTAACCAAACCTGTGTGGCCCAGTTATCTACTCCTGAGGTCGTAGATCTACGACATTTCAGAATCGGGGAGTAGATAACTGGGCCAGACGAGTTTGGTTAAAACTACATCTAGATCTAGAGTCCATTTCACTGTTTTATTGCGTCAGTAGAACCCCAAAAATAAGAAATCGGGAGACCATAGTGCAATAATATAGGGAAAAGTATATTCGTATTGTATATGAATGACATTTGTATATTTTAGATTTTTTAGTTTTTTGTGCAATAAGCCTGTGCCCTCTTGTAATTTGAAGAATTTCAGCCATGTTAATCTTATTGAGAATAACATGGCAGAGAAGCATCCAAATATAAGAGGCTTACTTCCTGCGAAAGCTATGTGGATTTTGATATAATAGCTTTCCCACGGAGCATTTGGACAGCTGAATGATTGTGACCTTTGAAATCGAATTAAGTCGTTCAGCGGCTTATTTTTGGTCTCTAACTGTATCTTCCATCAGTATCATCAATCCAGGCAAGTATTGGAGCGCTGAAATACTTCTTTTTCGATCAAGACTTGTAAATTGTTCATCGAGTAAATGTTTTTTCGAACCATTTCCAATATGGCGGTTTGCTAGGAGCGAGATACGCAACGAACGAAATGAATTTTGAGAATGAGTTAGGAGATTTACGAAAATGTCAGAGCAGAAAACGCCATATTGGAATTTGGCAGAAAAAAACATTCACTCGACTAACAATTACAAGTCTTGATCGAAAAGGAAGTACTTCAGCGCTCCGATACTTGCACGGAAGGATGATAATGATGTATGACATAGTTAGAGAACAAAAGTAAGCCGCTGGTCGACGCTGATCGACTTAATTCGTGTTTCAAAGGTCACTATTATTCAGCTGTCCATTTACCCGCTCGAGAGCCATAAGTTTCAAAATCTAACATGGATCTCGAAGTGAGTAATAAGAGGCCACACACTTTATAAGCCAAACTAGAAGCAATCCAAGATATACAAATGTCATTCATGTACAATAAGAATATATTTTTCCTTATATTCTTGCATAATGATATTATGATTTCTTATTTTTTAGGTTTTACTGACGCAATTAAGCAGTGAAATGGACTCTAGTGAAATCTTGCAGATGAAAATCTGCAGGATAAACTAATAAAATTCACAGAGACATGTAGCACTATGATATGAGATGAGCACTATGATAGGCCCTATAGTATAATAATAAGGGTAATAACACATCACTTCTTCCGGGTTCTGTAAATGAAAAATAAAAAAAACTATTGTTCAGAATTCCACAATAAGGGTCTCATTTTTAAGAAAAAATATTTAGCGGCAACATACATGTCATTATATTACTTGTAGACACGCTGCAAATATGATTTTTTCGTCTTATCTGTTACCTTAGCATCAGACCATGAAGTCCTCGACAGACATATTTTTCATAGTTTACCTTATCGATCGATTTCTCCCTCAATGTTTCGTCGATTGATCTCTGGTTTGATCCAGTTGTAATACACACATACGCAATGGTATACGCTGTTTCAATTGTACTATTATTGTTCAAAAATGTGTAAAAGCATACTAATTTTAAAAATATGACTGTTTGATACTGCCGCCATCTTGAAATAATGACATAGTAAACTTGACCCGTCTGACCTTTCATAATTCTATATAGAAAGGGGCTATTAAAAATTATGTAAATAGTTAATAAACAAAAATATATATTTATCTTTTGTTTTTTTTAATGTTTAACTGCCCAAATATATTTTAAATCATAAATAGATATTATGAATTTCGCTCTTCTCCGGGGTTCTGCAATTTGATTGGTTCAAAATTTACATCATAATTATTCACAAAGATGGCCGCTAGAATTTGCCAAAATATCTACGAAATAACATTTCATTTTTAAAACGGCAAAATAACATATTTTTACAGGCTGAACAGCATAAGCGCAGCATCCCTACAAATCTCTAGTGGGTAAAGGATTCTACGAGTAAAGGACAAGTTAATTGGCGAAAGATTTGGGGAGAAATCGCTATAAAGGTGAGTTTTGGTTGGACAGCACCTAACGGTCTTAGCATGGGTATCAGAAAGTAAAGAAACTTTTTTATTTAAATTTATCTAAATGTTAGGCAGTGACATTTATCTTACAGAAGAAAGATTTTTTTTCAAAATAAGACCCTAATTATAAAATTCTGACCAATAATTCATATATTTTTTTTACTTCCAGTTTTCGAAATTTGTCGGCGTTATAATCCTTCTCTAAGCATATCAGTCTCCCATACAGCCCCATATCAGTCATCATAAACGTGCTACAAGATACTGTGATAAAATTAAGATTTGTGTCAACTAAGCTACTGACAACGTTTTACAACAGCAATATTTCTACACAAGCAACTATGTAAACTCGTCTAGATCTACTTCATATGAGCCAGTCTCATACATCTCACCAGTTTTTTTCACAGCATTTTTCGCAGGTGGCTTGACTCCAGTTTTTGCAGCTGTTGTCTTCGCAGCGGGTTTCGTAGTTGTCTTAGCTGGTGCTTTAGAAGTTAAAGGTTTCTTTGGTGGCATTGTTATATGTATATATAGGCTTTAATAACTGTGAAATCAATCCATTTCTTGGAGCAGTTTGAAATTAAAGTTTTAAAAGCTTCTGTAGCAACTCCATATCGAGGCTGTCTTCACCAAATGAACGAACGGCAAACGCACAATAATAGCGAACGTGAATATTATTCTAATTTTCAATCATGTACATCAGTAGACGGTGAACACCGCCTCTAATGCGTTGGATTGTAGTATGGACTTGCATTAGAGGCGGTGTTTATCCTTGTAAATTCATGCCAATCTAAGTTTTTCTTGATTATTTTTGACGGTTCACTTTAGTTTAATCTTCTGCTTAAATCTCTGCGTCATTTACAGAGAAATATAAACAAAATGGATACATTGATGATTTATACAAAAGATTACCATATCTTTGAGGTTGTAGAAGGTTGAATTGTGCTAATTTTGTAGCAAAATCGCCGTTTATCGCTAATGTTCACAAAATCTTTATGGCGGCTTCAGTTCTCACGAGATTTGACGAGAGTAGCCATTGAATATTGCTGCCATCTATGTTACTATACAGAGTTTATATCATTCATTCGACCATCATGTATTCGATGGAAGAAATCAATGATCTCTATTCGCATAACATAAAACCAAAGTTTGGATTTGATTTGAAGCCAGAACAGTTACAAGTGACTATACAGAGTTTATATCATTCATTCGACCATCATGTATTCGATGGAAGAAATCAATGATCTCTATTCGCATAACATAAAACCAAAGTTTGGATTTGATTTGAAGCCAGAACAGTTACAAGTGATAACAAACATATTGAATCAAGAATCTACTATAGCAGTTTTACCAACTGGTTATTGGAAAACATTACGTTACGTGATCATCAAATTACGTCACGTGATCATCTCACTGATTTATGCAACGCATGCGCACTTGAAATTAGGTCAGCGAAAATGTCAAGAAGACCGGTCGGAAATGTAATTTCGTCTTATCTGCAACGATTACACATAATTACTGTAATAAAGCGAAACATTTATGGGTTCATTTTGAAGATTTTTGGTCCCGCTATCCAGTGGTGAAAGAATTTTCAAGATCGAGGTAAGATCTTTGGAGAAAAGTCAAAAACATCAGATCCGGACTTTTCAGCATTTCTTAAATTTGATAAAAGAAGAGGCTCGATAGAGAGAGCTTTTTAGATGAGTACAACTTTTTTATTTTCTACACGATCATTATGGAATTTTCAGACTATATCGGAGGTGTGATGAATTTTTATATTCTAAAATATTATTGTTGAATTATGAAAAACGCATTTTGTAGAACTTTTTTGGCGAAGCGATGAAATTCCATCTTATATTTTGTACCGTTTTTCAGTGCGTAAATAGAATGACTTAACGTTTTTTAAGCAGCAAAATAACATATATCGTAACCACATAATAAAGCAAAGTCTTATTTTCTGTAAAGAAATCGTGATTCGATCCATGAGAAGTATGTCTTAAAATTGATGAGAAAAATGGTTACATTTTTTCAACATTTTTGAGCGATCTCTTTAGTAGAATTTTACTTGTGTTAGATAGAGGTCGTCTCGCAAAACCATTATGTGCAATTTTCTCTTAAAATTGATTATCTTTGGAAATGATTCACTCGACGAAAATTAGATGTCGTTGCCATGTCGTCTATGGATGGTCTATTTTTCTTAAGTAATTCCAAGGCCGAGAGAAATACCCCGAACGTACCGCGTTCGTAATTTCAATGTTTTCTGCGTTCGGCCTTTTATCGTAAACTGTTCTTTGATGAAAAAGAAGGGTGCGCGAACTTTGAATTTATTCAGTGTGGGGGTTACCCTTCCCCCATTTGACATGAAGGCCAGAGCTGAATATGACAGCACATGTTAGTGAATGATTGGTAAGTGAAAACAATCTATCTTTATAACGGAATATATTCCCTATAGTTAAGTGGATTTCTGGTCACGAAACAAATAAATACTAGATATAGTCTGATAGTAACAGTTCAAACAAAGCTTGTCCCCGTCTGTTTTGATTGTTTGACCGGGAAACCAATGGGGTCTTGTCATCTGCATAATCAAGTCACCTTATATCGCACTATTAGAGCTGGGTAACTGGTAAGCAGAAAACACAATCGCCACTTCAAGTACATTTCACTGTTTTTTCTTGCGCTTTTTTCTTAGCTCTCATTTATGTATCATACGTTCAGTCAATCAATTTTTTGTAGCTAACGATTTGAACGGATTGCAATGAAATGACCTTTATGCGGTCTGGCTACGTACGGCCTGTTGATTTCTACGGGGACCGCAGAAATTAACAAATATTGTAACTCCGAGTTATAAAATCTACGGCTTCCCTTCACTGATATAATTGATCTGCGGTCTACTTACGGCCACTGTGCGACAAATGTGACTTGGGAGTAAATTGATCTGCGGTTGACGTAGTCGCCTTTCAAGTTAAGTATTGAGATTTCTATTCTAACCTCCACTTAAGAAACATAACATTAACTAGGATGTGGCTCTGCGGCTGCTGCAGAAAAACCGAGTGTATTATTTACATACAATAATGTTATCGTAAATCCATGCTGGTTGCCAAAATGTGGCTCTGCGGCTGTGTCGCCGCTGGACAATATACAAAAATGTTTATAATGGACAATTGATAAGCTTTCTCGATAATGTAGTAATAACAAATCGCATTTCAAAATTAAAAACTTTCCGACCACCTGTAAAACCTTTTCTATCTTTAGCATCACAAATTCATTAATGCCCATTATTATTCTGTTGAGAACATGATGCTAAAAATCTTTGAAATCCTAAACAATTGAGGTTATAAGGAAAAAGGTTTGTCCGAAAAATGTTCATAAACATTTTAAAGACTTAGACTTAGTTTATCTCGCCGCTTAGAGCCTAAGTGATCTTATTCACTAATACATACACCGTTCACTCAGTAATACTGCATTTACAATTACCGTTCTATTTTCATAACGTTAAACGACCAAATAGAAATCATTTTCTTGCTAATTCGTGCTACGTGACTCAAACGCAATAAAATACATTTCTTGTATAGTGATAAGACCTGATACATTTCAATTTATTTTAGTATTCCCACGATTTGTTATGGGGTAATGACCATAGATGAATTTTATTTGTAATTATGATGGCTAGTTTTTAGTCGAGTTACAGCACTAGTACTTCCATTGGCTGACTTGTTTAAACTAACACTTCTCCCTACAATGTACAACAGTTTTTAATGCATGTAGGCATACACCCATTGCAAGCAGAAACGCCGCACTTCAATTTGTACAGCAGTAAGGGTCGAGCACATGTTGTAAAAGCTGCATACCGAATTTTCCCTCAAATATTTGTAAAAGCTGTTTCAATTTAAAGGCTGGATTTGAGATAACGTATAAGCCTTGTGAGACGTGACCTATATATATCATACAGGAGTCGATTTAATATTTTACGCTCACACATATCTGACATAGCCTAACATGTTATAAATTGAGAGATTACAAAATATATGCAATTAGCATTTATATCACAGTTAGCTAGAACAACCATTTCGCGACAATTAGCCCACGTTATGGCTGGGTCACATAGGTGTCTGGCCGATTGAGTGTTTTGTTCAAAATTGTATTTGTTTGAAACAAAATACTCAATCGGCCGAGGGCCGACCGATGAATCGCAGCAAATATGAACCTGACATTATGTAACGTTCCCTTTTTTACAAATACAATGTATCTTGGGCTTTCTTATATTTTGATATTGGTTGCTTATTTTCACGGCTTGATTGACGCACAAATATTTTGATTGTACGTGCTCATGACAGGTTTAGGCATTAATGGGTGACAACGTCTGTCAAAATATTGCACGTTGGTTGTGTTGACGTGATTTATGACTGAATACATATTAAAACTAGTACTGCTTTTGAAAAGTTTTTAAAAAAGTATGGAAGAGTCTAACCTGCTCGTTAAAGATATTAAGTTGTATTATGTATTGTACACGTAACTACATTAATTGTATGTACCTACATTGTAACACAACGGTGTTGCATGGTGTACTTAGTAATGTTTATGCGCATTAGCAATGTCATGAACAAAATTGAGCAGAATGTGATCCCCTCGATTTTTGTGAATTTCTCATTTCAGGGACTTTCTCTCAAAACAGACCCCAAGTTAGTCATGGAAACACTTTCTTAATCTCTCAAGCAACTTTAAGGTAGATGTGTTTTTGGGGAATTTTTATACAGTCTAATTTTAACGAAGCCACACATTACTTTCAAATATGGACCTCTTTCCAATGTTGTCTACAACTTTCAGTTTTGCATAAAGACTGCACTATTGTAGCGAGAAAAGAGTGTGGACAATATTTCGTTTATAAAATGTATGAAAACGAGAAAATCCAGTGACTTACTTTTTAAAAATAAAAAATAAGTCGGCTACTTCATTTTCCAATTTTTTATATAACGTTCACTACGCTCTGTTCTGGTTACCTTTAGTGTACTCTTTGTGTAAATGTGAAAGATGTAGAGAGCGTATGAAAAATACGCCTCGCACTTTTTGTCAGATTTCAGACATAATTAACTTCAAGGTAATATACAAATTGGGAAAGAAATTGCCATCAATATATTCCAGAAAAGAAACATATTGATATGGTCTTTGTTGATTGAACATCGTTTAGATAATATTAGTATTGAAACATCACTGAGGGCGGTCCCAACAAAATCTCTATATGTCAACCTTGCTTGAAGCATCAAATTGATTAATTTGAGTGTTCACGGAATGTGTGTGTCAACGATGGATGCTTTTTGTTTGATACGTTTATTTCGTACACTCGTATGATTGATATAATCAATAACTTCAAAAATACATGCTCAATCTAGAATGTTTTGTTAATTAGGGGTACAATGTTTAGGACACTAAAGACTAAACGAGTTTTTATGTTCACAATGATTATACAGTATGTATTACATTCAAGGACAGGTTGACCGAACAAGCTCGAACATTTAGCAGGCATCAATGAATATGTACGTAACATATAACAACTGAATACACTCCCTGGAGTGAATTGAACTTACACTTGTACAGAATCGGTTTCCGTGTTCAGCCTCGTACTTGAAGCACAGTTGAATTTAGAAA